GGCGAGCTCGGGGTCGGTGTTAGGGAGCACGGCAGGAGGAGCTGGGGCGTGCTACGGACTCCTGAGATCGCAGTGAGCACGACGGTGGGCTCGGAAACGAGCTGCGGTGGCTGTGGCCACGGCCACGCCATGGCCGGCGGTGAGAAGCTCTCGGCCGCGGTGGAGAAAGAAGCTAGGGGATGAGCGCGAGCTTGAGAGAAGGGGGAAGAGGAAGAGGGGCTCACAGTGGATCGAACGGAGGGGTCGGCGAGCTCGGGGAAGCTTCTGCGACGGCGAATTTACGGCGGCGATCTCCGGGCACCGGGGATGAAGACGACGACGCTCCGGTCGACTGGGGCCTCCTCTGGTCGCGTGCGTCGGTGTGCAGCTCCATGGGGTCGGGACGGAGCTCAGGGATGCGGAGAGGGAGCGAGGAAGTGGCTGTGGCCGCGGTGGTTGCGAGCGACGTTGGCGGCGGCTCTCGGTGGGGAGAGCAGAGGAAGGGGAGAGATCCAGAGAGAGTGAGAGAGCGTCGGGGGTTGCGTGGCGTCGCGGGAGGCGACCAGGGCGACGAGGGGATAGCCAGGCAGGCAAGGAGGAGCTGGCGCGGCACGCCTACGCGCCGGGCACGCAGCTGCTTCGGGGCGAGGGGAGGAAGACGACGGAGGGATGCGGTGGTGGGCTGGGCCGATTCTGCTGGGCCACCAGGTGGGTGGGCCTCAGGTAAGCGTCAGGTAAGTCCTTCTCTCTCTCTCTTTTATTTCTATTTAACTCTGTTTTCTATTTTCTGTAGTTTGTTTTGATTTAGTTTTAGACACTAAACCATTTTTATTGCTTCTGATAATTATGGTAGGGACTAGTAGGATTATTCCAAAGCCCTTCATCAAAGATCAGAATTATTGGGCATATATTAATTAATTAAGAAATATATATCCAATGCAAATAGTTATTTATTTAATTCAAAGGCCCAAAATAATTAACTCTGAGATACCAAAAATATTGTTTTGAGTTTTTCCTCTTTGCAATATTTTCAGAGACTAAGAGGAACATTTTCTTGGACTCATTTGAGAAGATTTAAATGTTGATCATTTTTAGAAGGTTTCTGAGGCTTTGAAAATTCCTCAATTCAAATTTCATTTAAATTTAAACATGATGCACACATGGAAGCAAGCATAGGTCAGGCCAGAACTAGGGATGTGACACTCAAAATCCACGGAGACACGTTTTGAAATTAATGAAAAATACTGAGGAAAGAATCAACATCAGGGGGCCCACATCCTGTCCACGAAGGTGCAGGGCGCGCCCCTGCCTTGTGCGCCCCCTGGGACTCCACCGACCTCAACCCCGGATCCATATATTCACTTTCAGGGAGAAAAAAACAGGGAAAAGGATTCAGTGCGTTTTACGATACGGAGCCGCCCCAAGTCCTAATCTTCCTTGAGAGGGCTGATCTGGAGTCCGTTCGGGGCCCGGAGAGGGGAATCCGTCGCCATCGTCATCATCAATCATCCTCCATCACCAATTTCACGATGCTCACCGCTGTGCGTGAGTAATCTTATCGTAGGGTTGCTGGATGGTGATGGGTTGGATGAGATTTACCATGTAATCGAGTTAGTTTTGTTAGGGTTTGATCCCTAGTATCCATTATGATCTAAAATTGATGTTGCTATGACTTTGCTATGCTTAATGTTTGTCACTAGGGCCCGAGTGCCATGATTTTAGATCCGAACCTATTATATTTTCATAAATATATGTGAGTTTTTTTATCCTATCTTGCAAGTCAATAGTCACCTACTATGTGTTATGATCCGGCAACCCCAAAGTGACAATAATTGGGACCACTCCCGGTGATGACCGTAGTTTGAGGAGTTCATGTATTCACTAAGTGTTAATGCTTTGGTCCGGTACTCTATTAAAAGGAGACCTTAATATCACTTTGTTTCCAATAGGACCCCGCTGCCACGGGAGGGTAGGACAAAAGATGTCATACAAGTTCTTTTTCATAAGCACGTATGATTATATTCGGAATACATGCCTACATTACATTGATGAACTGGAGCTAGTTATGTGTCACCCTATGTTATATTTTTTTAACTGTTGCATGAGGAATCGCACCCGACATAATTATCCATCATCGATCCATTGCCTACGAGCTTTTCACATATTGATTTTTGCTTAGTCACTTTTCCTTTGCCACTGTTACGATTGCTGTTACGATTGTTACAAAAACTACTACTGATACTTTTTGCCACAATTACCGTTACTTCCATGCTACTTTACTACTAAATACTTTGCTGCAGATATTAAGTCTTTCAGGTGTGGTTGAACTGACAACTCAACTGCTAATACTTGATAATATTCTTTGGCTCCCATTGTGTCGAATCAATAAATTTGGGTTGAATACTCTACCCTCCAAAATTGTTGTGATCCTCTATACTTGTGGGTTATCATGCATTACCAAGAGGGCCCAGAGATATCTCTCTGATACTCAGAGTGACAAATCCTAATCTCGATCCATGCCAACCCAACAAACTCGTTCGGAAACACCTGTAGAGCATCTCTATAATCACCCAGTTACGTTGTGACGTTTGATAGCACATAAGGTGTTCCTCCGATATTCGGGAGTTGCATAATCTCATAGTCAAAGGAATATGTATAAGTCATCAAGAAAGCAATAGCAATAAAACTTAACGATCATTATGCTAAGCTAACGAGTGGGTCTTGTCCATCACATCATTCTCCTAATGATGTGCTCCCGTTCATCAAATGACAACACATGTCTATGGTCAGGAAACTTAACCATTTTTGATTAACGAGCTAATCAAGTAGAGGCATACTAGGGACACTTTGTTTTGTCTATGTATTCACACATGTATCAAGTTTCTGATTAATACAATTCTAGCATGAATAATAAACATTTATCATGATATAAGGAAATACAAATAACAACTTTATTATTGCCTCTAGGGCATATTTCCTTCATCAAGTGCTCGTATATGTACTCCATATTCGAATTCATTGCTTCAAAGAAAGGACAAAAAAATTAGCACGAACATTTCACCAAACACTTGTCAGACGTGATGACCCCTGTAGGGCGGATGGTGCCTGCGCGGCGGAGGACTAGCGGCATGACAACCGGGTGTGGCGGTGGAGACCGCGGAGGTCCGGAAAGGGTTTGACGGGGCGACCGGGGTGGTAGAGCGGCGATGTCAACGAGGGAGGAAGAGGATGCAAGAAGGAGGGAAGGATGAAAGCGCGGGGTCCGGAAGGGGTCTTGGGTGAGTCGGGGGTGTCGGAGTCCAACGTGGCAACAGTCTGGACTCCCGCAAAGCTTTCCTAATTTGCTTTCGGTTTGCAGGGAGACAAACAAGCAAACTAATCCACGAAACAATGTGGGACGATGTTGGATGACAAATTGCACCCGAATAGCTTGATCCAGACGTTTCCTATGTACTCCATCTGAAATTATTTGTCACGAATATAAATGTATCTAAATATATTTTAGTTCTAAAATCTAAACACACTCATTTTTATCTATTTCTACGACAAGTAATTAGGCCTAGAGAGAGTAGTATTTTATTATTTTTCACACTGTCAGCGTGACTCACGCATGAAAATTGTTGGCGACATACAGTTTGCTACTCCTTGCCCGGGCCCACGCTCCAGTGTCCAGATAAGCGAGCGCACGGGTCGCCGGTCGAAGCGGATATGCGGCACGCCGCTCTACTTGCCTTGCTTCCATCGCCGCGTCTTCTCTCACATAAACGCACGCTTCCATCGGGAACAGACAGCGGTGCGTAGCAAAGGAAACACGGCGAGGCCGGCGATGGATGTCAAGTGCCGGCGTCTGGAGGGGAAGGTGGCCGTCGTGACGGCTTCCACGCAGGGCATCGGCCTCGCCATCGCCGAGCGCCTCGGCCTGGAGGGCGCCGCGGTCGTCATCTCCTCCCGCAAGCAGGTCCAGCCACACCCCTCCTGGGGTCTCGATTGCGTCGGCCGTGTGGTTTGCTTTCTCTGATCGAGTGGTTTCTTGGCGCCGCAGAAAAACGTGGACGAGGCGGTGGAGGGCCTCAGAGCAAAGGGGATCACCGTGGTCGGGGCCGTCTGCCACGTCTCCAACGCCGAGCAGCGCAAGCACCTCATCGACACGGCCGTCAAGGTGAGATTTAGGCTGTCTGTTCTTAGTTCGGTGGTGGTGGTGGTAGGGTGAGAGATTTCCTTTGACAGTGCTGGGGCCTGGGGCTCTTGGGTTACAACGTTGTCAGATTCGTTACTTGGGAGCTGCGATTTTAAATAGATCGGCACTCTACAGTGGAATTTCGGCCCGGGTGAGGTGTTGGTTTACTAGACTGTGAGTTGTTCCCAAATGTTGACCAAATTCTGCATACCATTCTTGTTGGCTGTTAGACAAAATAGGAGAGGGCGAAACTGCTATTCTGCGACCCTGTTTGTTTCAGCTTTAGGCAGCAGATTCTCCTAGGAAAAATCAGAAGCTGAAACAAACAGCTATTTGGAATCAGCTTGCCATTGAAGCTGGAGCTGGATTCGGGCCATTTTCAGTGTAATTGCCTGAAGCACGTCCAAGTATACTTCAGTGAAGCAAATCCACAGGTGATTCGAAGCCAACTGAAGTTGAATCAAAGAGGGCCAGTAGGGCGCGAATGTTCAGCTTGGAGGCTTGAAATGTGACACGCTGCTGGCCATTTGATTGCGTGTTGCGGCCATGTGTTTGTGTTTGTGTTTGTGATGGAAACGTGGTTAACATGGAAGGACCAGTGGGTGTTGCGCGATACGGCTGTCGCGCTGTAGCAGTATCCATTCTGAATAAAACTGTTTTCTTTTGAAACCAGAGCTCTCATTTGGAGAGCAGTACATGTGTATCCACAACTATGGCGATCGCTGTATTATTTTTGTTGCTGCTTAGTCCTACTTATATTTCTCTGCGTCTAATGATGTAGGAAGAGTTCATGGTTAGCATTTCATTTTGGGTGCATCTGAACTGTTTTTTTTATCTTACCACAATTACGAGCTGATAGTTTGTGCTCATATCTGAAATACTTTACTGCATCTGCATGTATACTTATGATTATTGCAGCCAGGTAGTATTGAAATGATTGTGGTAGTAAAAAAGTTGTAATGTCCCTGGAGATAGAATGGGGAATTTTTTAGGTGGATAGAACATGGATTTAGGATATAAGAGAGTTAGTTTGGGGAAGAAGAAAGAAGAAATAAGAATTGGGGAGCGGATATTTGTACTCTCATTTGATATGCAATACCATTACAGTAGAAGGCTTTATAAATTGACACATCCTCACAGATATTGACCTGAATCACGTTACCAGCATGTGACACGGATCTACAGATAGCGACCTGAATCACAGCACCAGTTTGTGACACAACCCCACAGGGTCTGAAGATCAATATAAAGCAGTCTCATTTCCATCTCTCGCCCTTGCTATTTATGTCTTCTCTTAGCATCAACATCAGGGCGATCCTGCCCCAGTACAGGGCTGGTCCATGACAAAAAAATAATAATTATGTTACTGCAGAATTTCGGACATATTGATATTGTTGTCTCCAATGCCGCTGCAAATCCTTCTGTGGATAGCATACTAGAGATGAAAGAGTCAGTTCTTGACAAGCTATGGGATATTAATGTCAAAGCTTCTATTCTTCTACTTCAGGTGAATTAATGCTGCATTCTAAATCCTAATTTACATGTTCTATAAATAACTGTCGCACAAGTAATCACTTCCCATTTTCCTTATGTTAGGACGCCGCACCACATTTGAGGAAGGGATCATCTGTGATACTAATTTCTTCAATTGCTGGCTATAATCCTGATGCAGCTTTAACGATGTATGGTGTTACAAAGACTGCCCTTTTTGGTCTCACGAAGGTATATGCTAATCCTTTGTGGTTGTTGTGTTAGTGCACGCGCATTGATTCATATCAAAATTGTAAAGAATTGTGTGTTAGTGTGGTTAATACTCACTTCATTTCGATATACTCCCTCTGTAACTTAATGTAAGACGTTTTTGCATAGACCATGGAAGCATCGACTTACTGAGAAATGACTTCTTAATAACCCATTGAAAGACCATACCGGAACCACCTATGACCTAACCTCTTCAAAGCATTTAAGCAGGGGTGGAGAGTAGAAGCGTTGTAAGAACTGCTCTTGGTTCGCTGAATGGACAGACATTTTGATGATGACTCTTGCTTTCATGGATAGATATAGCGAAATGGAAGGACTATTTATCTTGATAAATATATTGTATATAGGAATATATTTGTCCTAGGCAAGTTAATTGATGGACTTGCTTCAGGGGAGAGCATATATATAGGTAATCCACAATTTTATATGAAATTTATCTCATCATGAGACATGCTGCTTGTATGTGGTGCCACTTCGTCTTCGGAAAGCAAAGCTACCACTGACAGGGTGGGGGGATGCTCCTACAAATTAAGCAAAATTATCTTGTAATAACAAGCTCATAAATTTACACTTTGAAAACCCGGGAACTGGAATTTTGTGGCTATAAATAAGCGATTGGATGTTGTCACTTGTCACCTTGAGAAAGTTTTCGAGTTCGATTCTAGGTTCCCTCCAAATCCTTACACACTACAGACATGCTTATGAATTGAGCTATACTTTTAAGTGCACAATTAATCAGATTCAGTGATTCACATCTGGCAAACGCCTAACTGTAATTTAGTGTCTACGAATGTGTGCACTGATGCGCAAGCTCGATAGAGTTTAATAGATTAGCATGATGAATCTTGCATTCACACATATGGTCAGATGTTGCACGTCTACAGTTTAGAGTACCAGATAGCCATCTAACAGAACATTGTAAACTTTCATGACAGCTGAAGTTGTATTACAAGGCGGTTTATTCCCATCACTGGGTATTCATGTTGTAACTTTGTGACCATATTTTATTGTTAATTGTGGATTTTATGTACATGTGACAACTTATGCATGTGTGCACATGATCTTGAATTGCCTAGTTGTGCATCTTAAAAAAATCTGAGAAAAATTATGTGCAGCAAGTAAAACATTTGCACTTGCAAAAAGTGCGCACATACAAACAAATAAGACTAATAATAAGTAGCACAATTTTCTGTTTTTTTTTGCACCCATGCACATAAGATAATATTTGTGCACTTCTTTTTGCATGTGCGCTTGCTGCACATCATTTTTTTGATATTTGTTGTAGGGTGCATAAGTGTGACTTTCAAGTTCGTATGCAGTCACCCATAAGTGCACATATGCTTTTCCCCTTAGGCCTCTTTTGGTTCATAGGATAGGATTATCATAGGAATAGGAATCTTGTAGGAAATGAGATGACATGTATCTCAAATCCTATGAGTAGGAATAGGAAACAAGATGTCATTTGGTTGACATCAAAGGAATTTTTCCATTGAGTCTAGGCTCTTTTTTATTTTCCTATGAAATGTGGAGGATAGGAACCAATCCTATGTAGGAATAGGAATCCATTCCTATGAACCAAAGGGCTTTAAAGGAAAAAATCCTATAAAAATCCTATCCTCTAGAATTCCTATGAAATTCCTCTAAAGCAAAGGAGGCCTTAAACTGTCAGGATATACATTGTTTTACACCTGAAGAGGAATTTTCTCCACTGACTCTGTCCATATATGTATCCTTGTCCAGGCTCTTGCTACTGAGATGGGCCCAAATACCCGTGTTAACTGTATAGCTCCTGGGTTTGTTCCTACACGCTTTGCTGGTTTCCTCACAACTAATGAGACCATCGTGAGTAATTTCTGATATCCATCATGCTCCTTTTCTTGTATATGTTGGTATATCTGGTTGGTCATACTCATAACAAAGAGGCAAGACCCTACATCACTTACAAGGAAAAGTGAATCAAGAGGGCAATTGTACATTTTGAAAGTTTCTTGATGAATAAGATTCATTACTAGCCACACATTTGCTGCCTTGTACTGCTGACACAGGCTTATACATAGAAAGCAAAAGCCTGCACATATAAATACACTGATTTTCTCATGAATTATTATGTTTCCCAACTATACTGCAATTAGTTTTTTACGAACAAGAAAGTAGATAAACTTTATATTTTGAAAAAAGTTCAAATTGTGCAGCAACTATTGCCAATATGGGATAACATTATAACTAACATTACTGTTGAAAAACGTGAAGGCGCTATTTTTACTTTACACATGGAATGACCTCTGTCAAATCTCTGAAAGCAAGGGAGCACTCAGAAAAATGGTACAGTTAAGACACAGAATGAACAAGAGATTTAAAAAACACAACTCATTTCTTACAGAAATATAATTAGCATCAGACTGATTAGCATGCTGTAGGTTTAACGTCCAAATCATCTCAAACGATGTTGCACAAGCTTATCTCCAATCGGTGCTACCCCAACTCTAACACGTATATCATCATTTCAGACCCAATCCTTTCTTGTGTGGCCACATATCCATCTCAACATGTGCATCTCTGCTACACCGAACTGCTGGACATGTCGCCTTTTAGTTGGCCAACATTCAGTGCCATACAACATCGCATGTCGAATCGCTATCCTATAGAACCTGCCTTTTAGCTTTTCTCGCACCCTCTTGTCACAGAGGACACCAGAAGCTTGCCGCCACTTTATCCATCCAGCTTTGATTTGATGGCTCACATCTTCATCGATATCACCATCCCTCTACAACATTGGCTCCAAATGTCGAAAGGTTGCCTTCTGAGGTACCACTTGCCCCTACAACATTGGCTCCAAATGTCGAAAGGTTGCCTTCTGAGGTACCACCTGCCCATCAAAGCTAACCTCCTCCTCATGCCTAGTAGTACTGAAACTGCTTCTCATGTACTCAGTTTTAGTTCTACTAAGCCTAAAACTGCATCTCATGTACTCAATTTCAGTTCTACTAATCCTAAAACCTTTCGATTCCAAAGTCGGTTTCTGCGGCTCTTTACTTTATATTATTAACCCCCTTCAGACTATCGTTGACTAGCACCGCATTATCCGCAAAGAGTATACTCCATGGGATATCTCCTTGTATATTGTGAGCTCATCATCACCAAAGCAAAAAGATAAGCGCTCAACGTTGACCCTTGGTGTAGTCCTATTTTAATTGGAACACCATATGGGGGAGCTCAAACCAATGCAACAATGCAAAGCTAGGTCAAGCAACAGATGCTCAACTCACTCTCTCAGTCTCACAAGACGCAACTCAAGAAATTAGGAGATAGAGGGGAATCAATGGAGGAGATCAACAAATGACTCCAAGAGCCATCCACGAACCCCCCTTCACATAGAGGGGAGATAGGGGTTTGGGGGAGGTGATTTGTGGCTCAGAAGAGTGGTAAAAACATGTATGAATGGCACCCAAACCGGTGGGGAAGAAGAGCCCTTAAAGAGCCAACTCCCCAAAACTAGCTGTTTGGCTCAAACAGACCTTCTCTGGACACCCCGTGCCCATGGGCCCCGTGGGCATGGTACAAGCCCGTGGGCACGGGAGACCCCGTGCGCATGGCCTACCCAGAAACAGCCTACAACAGAAACCTAAACATGCATAAGTCATACGAACTCTGATTTTGATGATCTTGGGCTTGTTTTAAAGCTATGGACAAGCCCAAGTCTACAGATAAAGAGCCACCCAAGATTAGAAATAAAGAATGATGCAAAAATGCGAAGGTTTGAGCCCTCTACATACGACGTGATCAAGCTACTCGCCCGAAAGTCCCTCTTGATAGTACGGCTATCAAACCTATAATCCGGTCTCCCGCCAAGCCCCATGAGACCGGTAAAACTAGGGAAACCTGGCTAAGTTATACCTTTGCCTTGCGCATTCTGCTTCAGCTTGATAAGGACGTTAATGCTTGCCTCAAGTTGAAATCCTTTTCTTGACCACAATCACTTGGTGAACATACTTGAATTGCTTCCCCCGATTGCAGTGAGGGAAGCCTTCACTTGAGCACATCTTCACATGTACATTGTCACGAGGTGGACCGCAAGCTTCAAAGCATGTAATCTCCAGATGCTCATCTTGCACTTGCACCTTCCAATGACCATCACCACTTGATGTCGCTCATCTTGCACTTGCACTTCTCAATGACCATCACCACTTGATGTCATCCTTACATAGGCTACTTGAAATCTTTCTTTTGACACAAGCCCATGAGAAACACCTAACCCACATAGACATAACAAACATATAGCATGTGATTGTTCACAAAGCGCAATTCACAATTACTTACCATACCACTAGATCACTAGATGCCATGCGGTACATTGGTTGCGCTTGTGTATTGACCATCTAGTATTCAATCTTCTAGCTTCATCTTGGTCAACTAACATCTTTAGTCATGCTCCATCTTGGTTTTTAAAAGTCACAATGAACTTTTTATTTCGCTTCATTGCTTCAAGACTAGATCACCAAAGACTCTTTCATGACCATATCAAGTTTCACCATGGACATCATATTGGTCATCACTTGCTCTTCTAAATGCTCTATCACAATCTCTTGAGAGGCACAATGAATTATTCACTCTAGTAGCTTGATTCAAGACTTGATCAACCAAAACCCAACACACAAACCCAACATGTTCTTGTCTTATAACCATAACTTGAATTCTTCCTTAAATAATTCTCTAAAGTCCTTGATCCTTATAAGCTCAAATATGTCAACCTTTGATATCCTCCAATGAACTCCACCTTGATCATATTTGGTTACGCATTGAGATCGATCTTGATGGCTTCAATAGATATCTCCAAAGACCAACTGGTAACCTCACTGGACATGAGACCCCAAGAGTAAAACCCTAGGCCCTGGCCGTGGGCATGGGGCCAGGGACCCCATGCGCATGGGGCATCTAGAGAGTTTAACACTCGACCTCGTGTGCACGGAGGTCAGGAGGCCCATGCGGACGATGTGTCTGGAGAGGAGGCCCATGCGGACGATGTGTCTGGAGAGATTTCCCTGGGCACGAGGTAAGCAGAGAGGGATACCATGATGATCTCTACGTGAGTCTTTTGATGGAACTCTTCCCAAATCAAACCAATATGCTTCATGCATCACTATGGAACAGTTCTTCATGCAGGATACAATGCACTTGATGCTCCATATGAATTGTCATTCAATACCAAAGCTTAGAGCATATCTTCATCTTTATGGCAATCATCCTTGAATCCATCCAATATCCTTAAGGTACCACCTATGGAATATTCCTTCAAATATATCTCCATGAAAGCATTAGTCCATAGAGATTGTCATTAATTACCAAAACCACACTTAGGGGCTACATGCACTTTCAGTATCATCAAAGGAGTCGTCCAACTCAATGGCTGAGCTCTCATTCTTTCCATTGAACAGTTTGTTGAAGTACTCTCGCCCTCTATTCTTGATCTCCTTGTCCTTAACCAGAAGTTGACTTGTTCCATTCTTGATGCATTTGACTTGGTTGACATTCCCCATCTTCCTTGTAGTTGTCCCTTTCGCTTCCCTCATGTTTAAACGCTGAAAGAGGCCCGACCCATTGCTTCACTCACAGCTCGCTTTGTGGTCTCTTTGTCACCTTGTACTTCTATATGTTGTCTGCACTCCTATCCAGGTGTAGGCGAACATTCTTTCTTCTCCTTAATAGCCTTTTGGACATCATTGTTCCACCACTAGGTAACCTTCGCTTCGCTTCTACTCCCCCTCTTCACCTCAAACTCCTCTAAAGCCACCTTTTGAACTCAAGTTGCCATCTTCATCCACCTATTGTTTGCATGACCTCCTTCCTCCCAAGAGCCCTCCTTAATAACCCCCTCCTTGAAAGCCTGAGTTGCCTCCCCTTGAGCTTCCACCACTTTGTTCTAGCGACTTTGGCGCACTTATTTCGCCGGACAGATATCCGAAAGCGGAAGTCAGCCAGCACAAGCTTATGTCGTGGGACAACACTCTCTTTAGGTATCACCTTACAATCTAGGCAAAAACACGTCTGTCTTCTCTTCTCTAGAGGATGAAATCAATCTGGCTAGAGCGTTGACCACCACTACAAGTCACTAGATGGGATTCTCTCTTTCGAAAGAGGGTGTTAGCTATGATCATGTCGTAGGCTAAAGCGAAGCTTAAGACATCCTATCCTTCTTGATTCCTACTGCCATAACCAAGGCCCCCATGCACTCCTTCAAAACTTGTGTTAGATGTACCCACATGGCCATTGAGGTCTCCTCCGATGAAGAGCTTCTAGCCAATAGGTACACTCCTAACCATGTCCTCATGCCTTCCTAAACTCCCTCTTGGTGTTCTCATTGTGGCCCACTTGTGGGGCATATGAGTTGATAACATTGAGCACTAAGTCCTCAACAACCAGTTTGATCAGGATAATCCGGTCCCCTTGTCTCTTGGCATCTACCACTCCATACTTGAAGCTCTTGTTGATCAAAGATACCTACTCCATTTATGTTTGTAGTTGTCCCCATGTACCACAGCTTGAAGCCGGTACCCTTCACCTCCTTCGCCTTTTGTCCCTTCCATTTGGTTTCTTGAACGCGCAGGATATCAATACCTCTCCTCACGGCTGTATCAACTAACTCCCGTAGCTTACTAGTCAGGGACCCTATGTTCTAGCTACCTATGCAGGTCCTACTAGGCTCGGCTAGCTTCCTTACCCTTCGCATTCGTCGAGTCAAATGCGAAGACCCTTGGCGTTGATGTAGCGCGGCACTAAGGATGCGACGACCCGGTCCGTGCTCGCTTATCACTAGATCAAAATCAAGATACGGCCCATCAACGGGGGGAGGGGGGGCTTGCCCATTTAACAGCACACTTGGGTTCCAATATGGCTCGTCGGTAAGATGGTTATGCCCCAACAATGTACTTCTGGGTTTCATCTCCATAAGGGTGGTTGAGTTTTGACATTGGCTCGATCATGACCCTCCTTCTTTACCTGGGCTTCGAACCGGCTATGATGCAATGACCCGTTCCTTGCTCACTTATCATCGTATAATTAGCAGGCTTTGTTATGGTCTGCCATCGAGTCATTGACACATCACGGGAAGTTGGAGAACCAATCCAATGGGCAGAAAGTAGAAACACTGTATGGTTGTAGTGGGTCTTCTCATACCAAAAAGCTATCTTGAGAGTTTAAGGACCCTCGACCAGTGTGAGACTTTTACCACAATCTCCCACTTCAAAAGATTAGTGTTATTAAATTGATCTTTGTACTTTCTCAATCATGGGTAGTTAGTTATCAGATGTGTTACATATTCATGGATGGCAATTGTAACTATATATGCCATAGTCAATATGATTATTAATATGGCGATTTCAATTAGCTAATGCATTGTTTTTCTTTCAATCTGCCAGAAATTCATTATTTTTATTTTACTTTAAGTACTCACTCATATCTTGCATTCAGTTGGTCTTTCTAGTACGGTAACAAGTTGATCTTTAAAAAAATGCTGTTTCAAACAAATACAATATAAAAATATATATTATATTTTATGAAAAATCTAGCAATATCAATTTGATATTGTCCATCTTGGTACTTTGGTAGTTCTTTCTAAGACTGCTTAGATTTTAAATGGCCAGGTTCTTCTAGATTCTTAATTTCTTTGATGTTCACTGTTATCCTAGTGCTTTTGTCATCTTACACATGGCACTGCTCTTCTCAGTCATAAATTAGGTTCTTACGAATGCAAGCTATTTCAGAACAATATTGTTGTCTGAATAGCTGTAGCTGTACCACCAAGTAAATTGAATGTATGTTTTCTTCCATGCATGTATATGTACCTAACCAAATAATTCTACAGAGAAATGAACTTATCGAGAGGAGCATACTTAAGAGATTGGGTAGCGTGGAAGACATGGCTTCAGCTGCCGCTTTCCTGGCATCCGACGATTCATCCTTCATTACAGCTGAAACAATTGTTGTTGCTGGAGGAACACAATCAAGACTATAGATAAGTTTTGAGGGTCAATCAGCTACAGTGTCATGATCAATAAATATAGTGATACTAGTAGGTCTAGTATACAACATTTCAAGCATGCTTAGATATAAACAAGATGCAGTGTAATAAATTTGATGTTGGGGCACCATACAGCAAGGACGAATGATAGTCTGTGGTCCGAACATGTATTTTTGTATAACCTGTGTTCATGTATAGGAATTGCGGTGAAGTGACAGAGTATGCCGCAGCATTTTATTTGGGGTTTCAGTTTTTCAGCGGTTTAGTGATTATTTTGAGCCAATGAAACATTGCAGGTTGAATTGCTGTACTTTGTCTCCCTGCCTCATTCATACTTGCACCCTTCCAGATTTCGAATGAGTCTTCAGTATGTCTTTATACTTTTGTTTTTCTTGCTTCGGCCTATTAGTCATACTTGGAATATTTGGCCTTCATTTTTTTGTCATTGTTAAGTTATTATTGCTGCATTGTTTGAGTCTAGGCGCAGTGTAGGAGTGGGTTAAGTTTTGGACTTACACAGTTCGTTACAACGGGCAACGTATTGAGAATTTCTATTTGGTGGTTTTTTTCTCGTAAACCTATATTTTGCTTGATTCAACCTGCAAGTCAGCAGAACATATTTGCAAAATAAATCAAGGTGGTAATTATTAGTTTATGAAATATATGATTTATGAGAGAGATATCAGTGAACAACAATCTAAACATATTAGTGAGCGATCGCGGGTGAAGGTGCAAGGGTGGTGTGAAAATTGATCTCATGGGCAGCTAAAGTTCTCAAGTGTCTGGTCCAAGCGTTCAAGCACTTCTGACCTATTCTCTGAGTTGTTTCAAACTCACAAAAGATTTTTGTAAGAAAATTACTATAACAGAGTCAAAGTACTGGTGGGTGTGATCATTCGACAAGAGAGGAATGCATTGGCAAAATTTGGAGAAAATGGCTATCTCTCAAGTCAAAAGGAGGGTCAGGCTTTAGGGACATGTAAATCTTTAATAAGGCAATGCCTGCCAAGCAAGATTCGAGATTACATGAGAATCCTCATGGTCTATGTGTTAGGGTTCTTAAAGAAAGATACTATCCTGACGGAGATTTCCTTACGCCGGGGTGCCCGATTGAAGCCTTGCCTACGTGGTTGGCTATCATATGTGGTCATCATGTTCGGGTTTGATTAGACGTTGAAAACGGGAGCATGATAGAAATGTGGC